CCTGATCAAGAGGTGCGAGCATGCCGGTCTGATGAGATCGATTCAAAACAACCTCGCACCTCGAACGCCAATGTCAAGTTATTCGGTGCACCTCCAGTGCCGCTATTCTCAGCACGCGCAGCGACAGAAAGAGCATCGCTCACTTCCAAACAAGGCTTGAAGAGAAAAGATAATCCCCTAACCCATTTTCATCACGACAGCGTCGGTTTGAGGACAACGCACTACACGTGAGTCGTGCCTCTTTCATCCGCTTCTGCACTCTATCTGCACATTGGAGCTGACGCGATGCGCAACGTGGTGAACTCATGTAGAACGTCATCGACGGGTCATCAGGTGTCCAATAGGTTAGGTCCCGGCGCACCCGGTGCCACTTGGTGGGATACGCGTTTGCAAAAACTTCGTTCGCAAGCTTGCGAAGAGGAAAGCGATCTTTTTAAAGGTATCGTTGCCTACGTCAATGGCTTTACGGGAGCCAACACGACGCGAAGAGAAGTGGTGAGGTTGTTGCAGATGCACGGTGCTAAAGTCGTGTGAGTTTTGGGGAATGGTGCGCCTCGCACTTGCACTTTCCAAGGAACTTTTTCGCTTGATCGCTCTGGATTCGCGATCGACATTGTGCTGATGCTGCTTGCGACTCTTTGAACGAAAATGGGCCGAAAGCGTCATGCCTTCAGCAAAGACGACGCACATTTTTACGGCCGCTTTCCTTTCCGCATCCAAAGCGCACAAGGTGCTTGTCAAAAGACGAGGCGGTCTAGGGCCCAAGATCCTGCACGTACAATGGTGAGCTATCTGGCATACCTCTCGAGTTTCTTTTTGCGTAGGAGCTTGAATGGCTCAATATTGTGTCAACAATTTGCAACAATAAAGGGTGTTTGATAGTCTGGCGACAGATCCACCTCGTAGACAGACTGAGCACGTCTATTCCATCCTCAACCCTCCTACACGACACAAGGAAGCATCGAAGCCGCACTTGCTCTCGACTGTATCGACATGCGCGCCCACGGCATCTCATGGGGAGATGCGAGAGGCTGTGAAAAGGGTAGTGCCTGCTACTTTGACAGCCTTGCCCCATGCACCCGACGCGCGGCAAGGAGCTTATAAAGCTCAAAGAAGCCTAGCGGACTTTATGGGTCCACCTGCGAAAGCGCCGACGACGCAAGTCGCGCTATTGCAGACGAGCAAGACGA